CCCCCCCCCTCGCCTAGCACTGAGTTGAGTCTGTTGAGCCAGTGTAATAAATAATTTTTTTAAATAAAAGAACAGTTTTAAATTTCCATGAATAATTTTACTTACATGCAGGAGTAATCTTACTCCACTTCTTTAAGTGCGAAAAGCACTGGGAAATATTTAGTGAATTGATTTCCATTAGAAAAAGACCCTTAGAAATCCCTGAACATACAGTACTGCATATGGATGTGTTTGGGGTCTTTGGGGAGGAGGGAAGATGTTTTGTAGCTGACGGCATTCCTGCATAAAACCTTAATTTAAGGGGAATAATGGTCAGTACTTTGTGTGTTTCCTTGTGATTCCAAAAATCTAAATTTAATAAGAATCTGCACGTATGAGCAATTGCAATAAACATTGTTTCATTAGTTCCTTTTTGCTATTTGTTTTCGCTTCTTAGCTATTCCCAGATTTAGAGATTGATAAATCCAAATATCATAAGCTTATGCTTTGTTCCGTTTCCCCCCCCCCAAAATTAAGGGGAGGGGGTGAGAGTAGAAATATCCTTTTCACAACTTCCCCCTCTTCATGGATCCCACTGAAAAGAAAAACAATGAAAAATTTTACAGCACGAAACTGAAAGGGAAGTATCACAGTTGTTCGGGATTTTCTTTAAAGAGAAAAATGACATTGTATTAAAATGTTTGAACTTGGGAAACATGCACATTGCTTTTACCGACATGCATTTAATGAAAAAATTCTTTTATCCAAAAAAAAAAAGATCATCTGAGATTGCTCCAAAAACATGCAGCCTGTTTTTTTTTAAAGGCACTAAAATGAGGTTTAAGATACCAAAAAAAGAAAAAAAAAAAGCTTAAACTGTTTTAATTTTTTTTAATAAAATTGAATATTAATTTGTTTCCTTACTGGCTTAATTGTTAAAATGAGAGTAAGAATCAGAAATCATCTGAGCTAAAAAATCTCTAATTCTGCTTCCTGGAATAATAAGGGGGGAAAAATATGATAAGTAGTTGTCAATATTAAAACAGGCTGAAGGAGGAAGGCTTCGGGCCTTGTAGTAGGTAGAATGAAACAGCAGATTTGAGTATCCACAATCCTTTCAGTATTAAATTTTCAGTAAAATAAAATTACTTGTATATGAAAACATAGCCTTTCCCCAGCTCTCTTTTTTTTCCTGATCAGCTGATGAAGAGACTAGCAGCTCGCTGCTTTGCTGGCTTGTTAATTTTATCCCCACTAACTGTGATTTCCGATAGCCGGCCTGCCGATAGTGGTAAGGTAAATATCCTTTTTCGTTGCCGTCTTGAAGATTCAGTAGAACTACATCCCAGGCATGTGTAGGTGTGTAACACATCAAAAGCCGGTGTTCTCCGTATTTCTGTGTGCAACTGGGTGCTTGAGGAGAGCATTACCATTAACTGTTGACAGCCTTGCATGCTGTATTTATTATTAGCATGTTCAGTCCCCAACATTTGCGGGACAATTTCCTTTTCTTAATCTTCGCTTAGCTGCAGTGTGTTTAGCTGTATAGTTTGGGTGTCCTGCTTTTAGGCAAATGAATATTAATGAAATAATGTGGAAGCTTTTTTTTTTTCTCTCTCTCTCTTTTTTTTTTTTTTCTTTTTCCTCATAACTCATCAGATCTCGCCTCCTTCATAGTGGTTATCTGAACACTGTAGGATCGTGATGGAAATTGTCTTTTGATTATTAAGGCCTAGCCTCAGACTGTCCCTTAGGATTCTGTCTGTGTGCATGTTGCTTCTTCGGGTTTGCACATTGGAAGATGCATAGAAAACATTCTTTTAATCCCACTAGCATTTTTAACATGCCAGGTTGTTTTGTGTTCTGCACCAGGTTTTCTTCATAAAACCTTTCTTTTTCAGGAGGCATTGTACACAAGTGAAAGAAATTATGTCTGAGCTGTAATCACTCTTTATATTGATTGTTATACTCACATGATCATAAATATTAGCCATGTTTGGTGCTGTGGAGAAATGAAGGTAATTGCTTTATGATTAGGGCTCTTTCAGCTACGAGAAAGGATTGATTAGCATTTGCATACTGGAAGCAATATTGAGAGCCAGGAGGAACAAATAACAACATCAGTTTATTTTGTGTGAGAAAGCAATCTTGAAATGCAATTTAAAGGTCTTTAAAAAATTTTTTTCTTTTTCATGGTCAAATTTTCTTTTATCTGTTTTGTTTCGTTTTTTTTTTTTCATTGCAGTTTTTCTTTATTTTTCTTAAGTTTTGAGATTTACCAGGGGGATAAAAAAAAAAGTTTAAACTTCTGGGTCTGTCACATGGATCTTTTAGCCATTTACGAACAGGTTTCTTTTATACCTGGTTGTTTTTATAGCTATTTTATTATCTCTCTGCATTAGTGCTGCTGGCTCTGGTTTAAAGCAAGCGTTTGCAGGTAATTGGAAAAAAGTGTTTGTTGTCTGTGAGTGTGTGTGTTCTTTATCAGATGATTTAAGTGCATTTACCAAGGAATGTGGCTTTGTACTTCCTGTTTCCTTGTTTACTAATTGCTACGTTAGAACAAAATCTGGATGGAATAGGGATTTATGCCGTGAATCATGAGTAAATTGATGTAAAAGCCCAGAGAAGGGTCAGAGCTTATATGATCGTAAGGATGTATTCTTAGAGGAATTTTTTTCTTCACCCACCTCTTTTTGGTTTTGTTTTGTTTCTGTTTTACCTTTCCCCCCTTTTATAGTAGTAAAACAATTCAGGTCTTTTTCTTATATTGAGCTAAAATTTCATTTGGATTCAGCTACCTTTCAGACACTTCACATGTGTCGCCCTTTTTGTATTTGTCATTTCTTCTTACTATTAGTGTTTCCTGCCCTCGCTGTATTTTGTTCCCAGATTAGACTTGGCTTAAAGAATTATTTTATCCAATATGGCGGTCTTCCCTCTTCTTACTTGACTGATTACTGTTAACTTGTATTTTTAATCTTATTTTTGTTAGTTTTACTTGATTCTCATCACTCACCTTGGCTTTTTAAAATTTTCTTGATTAATCTCTTGTCTTGAATTTTCCTCCTTCATTCCCTACTACAACAGGCCATCGAAGACGGCAATTTGGAAGAAATGGAAGAGGAGGTACGGCTCAAGAAGCGGAAAAGACGAAGAAATGTGGATAAAGATCCCGCCAAAGAAGACGTGGAAAAAGCTAAGAAGAGAAGAGGCCGCCCTCCAGCTGAGAAACTATCCCCCAATCCCCCCAAACTGACCAAGCAGATGAACGCAATCATCGATACCGTAATAAACTACAAAGACAGGTGAGTGTTTCACTCCTACAACTTGCTCCCCTCCACAGAGACAGAGTTGATACTCACTACCGAGCAAGATGTATTTTAAGGCATGCACTGGGTTGTAAGGTTCTTTCTGCTTTGTGTTTCATGGCTTTTGCCCAAAGGTGTCAGAAACCTCGTCGTACCATTTTCACAATGGCTGCCATTGCTGTTTTGTGTGCTGTTTTCCCAGGCATTGTTGAGGATATTTGAAAATAGTGTAGGTGACAAAAATTAAAAAGACAGTCTAAACTGGAGGAGTCAGGACTCTTAAGGATCTGTGAAATACCATCCTGTTTGTAGAAGGACTGGAATGACATCGTGAAATTATACTTCTGGGTTGAGTTGTTTGGGAAAGAAGAATCCTAGCATACTTAAGGTAAATATTTCGTGTCGAGACTCTGTCGAAAACCAAAGAGGTGCTTCGTCAGAAATACCATTCCTTCTTTCCTTCCAGCACACTTGTATTTCTGAGCCCTCGTTTGAGCAACATCTCCTCCTTCCTAATGACACTGCATAGACCGCATGGTTTTCTGGCAGATGGACCTCGTTTTCACAGACCTTTTCAGTGTGAGTGTGGAGAAACGCACGAGGGACATTATCATCCCCAGACCTGTGTCGGTCAGCCCAACACAGTAGATAAACTAGTTGGGCTACATTTTGGTTAGTTGTTTTGGTTTCTGCTTGATAATCACGTGATGCAGTTTTCATAGAAAGATCACATCTCGTTCCAGTTGAAAAGTTGATAGGAAACAAAAGAATTAAACACTGTATTTCTCGCAGTTGCACAGCGGCATTTAATCCGGTTTTGGTTATTTTTTTTATTTTTATTTTCTTACAGTAGTGTTGCTCTGTACACCCAGGAATGTTTAACACACATAACGAAGTTGTGATTTTAGCTTTTCTTTGCGACTTTAGTGCTCGTTTTCTATCAGGAAGAAACCTCCTAATAAAGATGAAGTCGTGTAACCAGGAAGAAACTTTCCACTGAGAGGTTCTATTGTTGGGTCTTCATTACATTATCTGTAAGGAGTTTCCAGAAATGGTGACAAGTGGTAGCACGAGGTGTGTGTGGAAGAGTCAGAATTTCCTGCCCTTCTTTGTGTTGCAGAGTTTTTAGGTTCTCTGCTTACTATTTTTACTACTTGTCTTTGTTGTTGTTGTTGTTCTTTTTTTCAAGTGCATCCCCTTGCATATTTCACACGTGGCAACAAAGAGCAGCCCCATTATATTGGGTTTGGAGAGGCCACTCATTGACACGGTGGGGGGGGGATGACAGCCATCCAGAAAGGAAGATTGGCCCACCGGTCCGTTCTTTGACCAGAGCGAATGGGCACACGCTTCCTCGTAAGCCAAGAATCAGTAACTCTGTCAGGTTTCTGTTCGCCCCCAGCCCTCCTGGAAGATATGCCACAGGCAGGAACGAATTCCGGGAAACCAGCTTGGACAATGACGCCTTATTTTATCAGACGCCTTATTTTTATCAGTAAAAATAATAATAATAATAATAATAAAATAAGTAGAGAGGATCACCCTGCAGAAGCCTCCAACTTCTCTGCCTTTGTCTCAGGAGAGCAGAGCGCGACATCTGTTACTCTGACCAGGTGCGCCTTGGTATTTGACAGGCATCTTGCTCATAACCTGCTGAGTGGAGTCTGGGGTGGCAGGAGCACTGCGCAGAGCCGAGAAGAGGTTTAGGAGCTAGACCTTTTATTCCAGGTGACGTCTAGCTCCTCCTTTAACGGTGCAAAAGAGGTCACCAGCTGGTGGACCACAAAGTGCCCACAGCCTGATTAATTTCATGATTCATGTTGTTGGGTGGGGGATGGGGAGAAAGCAAACACATAAAACCCGGAGAGACTTCTTATAAACTTCAGGTGTTCTCCGTCCTTTTAGAAAAACCTAAAAATCATGCAGCGTTCTACCCAAGTTTCCCCAAGGTGATAACGGGTAGGAGTGAGGAGATGGCTCCCCATCGCCCCCACCACGGGCTCTCCTGCTCCAGCTTGCCGCAGCCCTCCCCCCGACCCATCACCCTGCTAAATCATCCTTCTAGTGTGGGGTGCCACTTACTATTTATCATCGTGCTTTCCCGCCCGGCCCACTTGACTCATTTATATCACCTGCTGGCTCCATAGGCTTCTGGGTGTTGCGCTTGCTGGCATAGATAGCTATGGGCTGACTCCTTTCCTAGAAACCACCACAGAAGAGGAGGTTAGATCCCTTGCGCCTCAGCTGAGCACAGCACCGTTGCTGATACACAAGCTCTTACGTGGGTTCAGCTTACCTGTTTTTGAATCTTAACTCCAGCATTTATCTACTACCTATGGGGCGCTCGGGCGACTTCCTTAACCCCTCTGAGCCTCACTTTCGCCATCCACAAAATGGAATGATTACCGTACCTGCCTCCAGAGGCGTCAGGCGAGTTGGAGGAGTTAATGCAGGCCAAGCTTGCTTGCTGAGTCGTTTAATTATTAATAATCAGCCTTTCAGACTACTTTTAGCTCATCAGGTGGGTAAATGGAGCTCTGAGCACTTGAAAGTAAGCGTCCTTGCTAATACGTTTTCTATCCTTTCTGTCCCCTCACACCCTCCAAAAACAGAAAACACAGTTTCACTGGGACTGATTATCGAACATGTCTTTGGTTGTATTGTAGGGAAAGAATATTTAAATATTTTAGCATTCAGACACCGAGTACTTTTTTCCTCCTGTTTTCTCTGGTTTCAATGTATTTATTTAACTCTTCCTTGCAAAGTACCCTCTTAAGGCCCGTTCTGTTAGCCCCCACCCACATTTAGGTCCGTTCTGGAGAGTATGGGCCCCTTTCCCATTGCTGCATGTTTCATGTATATTTCGTGTTAGTAGTCTAGAAAAAAAAAGCACTTATTGTGAATATTTCTGTGTTTTATTTCTCTTCCCAAACTTGGTGCTCAAGTAGGAGGTGCTCAAATTAGGAGGGCCTTAATTGGATACATTGTTATATTTTTGTTGGTTTTAGAAAAATACTGCTGGGAAATGTACCTACCCCTCCATGTGCTGAGATTTTTGTACGGTTAAAGTCAGCTACTAATATAGTAACTCAGCCTACCTGTGCAAGAAATACCACCTGTACTAACTTCCCTCCCCTTACCTCAAGTGTTAGGGTTCTGACAGTTGTACAGATTAGCGGTGTATTAGATAAGAATTGCCATCTATATTTAACTGATATATAAGAATTAATTAGCTCTCATGAGACAGTTTTTTCAAAGTTCTTGCATGATTCTGGGACAGATGTATCTTTCTTTTTTATGAAGAACTAGGATAATTTAAGCATCTATTTATTGCCTTTGTTTTCAGTGCCAGGCTTTTTTTTTTTTTTTTTTTTTTTTTTTTTTTTTTTATAAGGAGGATACTTTTTAAAATGTGACCCCAAAGAGCCAGTAATTTTGTGTGTTTCACAAATGTAAAATCCTTCTGCAGTAATTGCTATTTAAAGTTAGAACTGGTCAGCTATAGCTCATTCCTACTATTTTCATTCCCCAAATCAAGTAGTGTTAGAAGGCTTTGTTTTGACTTGTTATGATAAGCCTTGTTTTCTGTTTCTATCGGAGGCTTTTAAGAATCCTGTTCTAACATTATGTACTATTTAACCTAAGATGCTATTCCTTTAGAAAAAGGATCCATCCCAGTTTGCATCCTTACCCTTTAAAATTACCCCTGGGATGAGATCTAGAATAAGATAGTGAAGGGTAGGGGCTGGGAGAGCCATCCCGAGTCTAGAGACGTGGCTCGTAATTACTTGGATAATGGAAAGATCTAGAGGGATTCGGGGTCCTCGCTCTCCCTGGCTCACCTTCCCACAACTCAGATGTGCCCCCCTCACCATCTTTGACAGACTGCCATCCAGCAGTTATGGACCCTCCCGAGAGTTAGTGCGCTGTGTCAGGGGGCAGTTAACGACACTGACGTGCAGCTCTAAGCACAACAATCCTTTCCTATAGGATTCAGCCCTTCTGACTTCTGGGTGTTCTACTTGGACGTTCAGAGAGTATGTCCGTCCGCATTCTGAGCAGTGTCCTTTGGGCACGGCTATCCACCTCAGGCCATTCTCCTTGAGGCTGACACACCTCCCTTTGCTCTCAGAGTGCTGTCTAGACCTACACCATCCTGGTCCCCTTCCTTAGGCACATCTTACTTTCTTAGTGTCCCATTTAGAATAGGGCACCCATACCTCCAAAGGTATTCTGATGGCTAATTGCGGGGCAGTGAGCTTCCCTGGTCTGGATACCAAAATTCTGTTACCCTGCCTCAAGAGTGTCTTAACTTCTTCCAACAGCTCTGACACATGAACATGGGAAAGCTCCCCGGCCCCAAAATGTGTAGAAAGCTCTTTCTGCCCTTGAATATTGCCAAGGTTAGACGTCAACTAAGCACTTGATTTTTTTGAACCTGTATCTACCGACTTCATTCTTTCCCTTATGCAGCTCCATTTAACAGATTCTTGTCCCATTTTTCCAGTCTACTATTATAACATCATTTTTATGCCTTTTTAAAAAAGCATGTTTCCTTGTGTAAATCATTTCGGGTTTTTTGTTTTGTGGGGTTTTTTTTTGTATTTTTGTTTTGTTGTTGTTTTTTTTCCATCAGATTTGCTATAAGCTGTCTAAAAGGCAAAGGACAGATCTCTGTCATGTGCACCTGAAAATCACTTCAGGTTGACATAAATGTATTAACCATTAATCCTTTTTTTTAAAAAAAATATATTTTTTAATGTTTATTTTTGAGAGAGAGAGAGAGAAACAAAGCACAAGCGGGGGAGGGGCAGAGAAAGAGGGAGACACAGAATCCGAAGCAGGCTCCCAGCTGTCAGCACAGAGCCTGACGCGGGGCTTGAACTCATGAACCGCGAGATCATTACCTGAGCCAAAGTTGGACACTTAACCGACTGAGCCACCCAGGAGCCCCTAAACAGCAATCCTTAAAGTTGATTAGCCGTCTGTAGTGTCACAGGACTGCGCCATCGTGTCCCCCACTCTGTCCTTTCTCAAGTTTATTGAGAAAGGTTGAAGCCAAGAGATACCACATTGGTGGCCTCTCCAATCTATCCACCTAGAAACCCCGCCGAAAGAATAAAATGAGGTTAGCTTGCCATGGCTTTTTCTAAGAGACCCCCTACTAGTACTTAAATGATATTATTTATCTTCTCTAAATAGCCCCGTGGCATCTGAATAATTTCCTCTAACTTTTTATGGAGGGTCCTCATCAAGCTTAGCAATCTCAAGTCTCCTTGCTCATTTTGACATGGGAACGCTGGCTCTTATCTCTCATCTTCTGACTCCACTTCTGTTCGTTGTGATTTCTTAAACGTTAGTAGAAGCAATCTGCACAGTGCTTCAGGATGTAATTAGTTTGCAACTGGATACTTGAACTCATGTGAAGCGCCTTCTTACGCCTGGTCGACAGTCCTGTCCGTCGGTGGCTTTTGTTCAACGTTTATTGCGCCTGACTTTTCAAATCTGAGCATTGTCCTCATCCCTGAAGAATCTGGAAATGGAAGGTGAGGTTGTGTCCTCTCTTCCCTCCCTGACAATTGTCTGAAGACTTGGCAGGAGCATTCTACGATGACCCGCCTCGCTGTCTGCAGAGGGCTGGGACTTGACGTCCAGCTCTGCGGACGGACACAGGGAAGAAGTGGGCGAGGTGGAAGAAACCTGCCTGGCTGGTCTGATGGGTGGACACAACCCTGGCCCACAGTGAGGTGATGGGGGTAGGGCTGGTGACCACTGGGCTGCTTCCTCCCTGGCCCTGTTGAGGCTCCGCTGTCCTCCCTAAAGACGGACTGTCGTCATCTTGACCCGAATTTGCAGAATCCTTCCTGATAGGTCTGAGAGCGGTGGAAGGTCTTGGCTTGTTCTGAATTTCAACTCACATTGTAGAAAATCATTTATTCATCCTGGAAATATTTATGGCATCCCTCCTGTATTTCCAGCCCTGTACTGCAGAACAGGGCCAGAGGGTAAAAAGCCAAAAAACAAAACAAAAACAAAAAAACTCACAGTACTCCCCCCCTCTTGCTCACGGAGCATGCATTGGAGGAGGTAGACAGTCTTCCTTCCAGGAAGGAGGTGGCCAGCCAGGAGAATTCAGGGAAGCAGGGGGTCATGTGAGCCTCTTACAGGAGGGCACGATGACATTAGTTCTTGTGTAGGGTCACTTTTTAGAAGAACAAAAAACTATCATTATAAAGACATTTAACCTGGGAAAGGAGAACCAGTGTGCCATTCCTTGACATTTCAGCTCCTTTCCAAGGACAGGGTAGACCGCAAGCCTTAGGACTAAATGTACCGTTTAATTCCTTTACATGCTGAAGTTGGGTGTGGCATAGCCCTCAAGTTGAGTAAAGCCGAGCTGCTGGTTTTGAAGGTCCCCATCTGATCAATCCATTCTCCAGAAGGGATGGGTTCTCGTTAAAAAAAAGAAAGAGAGAGAGAGAGAAGAAAGAAAGAAAGTAAGTAAGTTAGTTGCCTGGTTCTGAGGTTTTCTCTCAAGTGCTTGACCTGATGTGCATTTACTGTGTGTGTGTCGGGGGGGCTGGGGGGAGGTGCTTCCCACACTGATCACCCTCCAGAGGCTTCGATCCAGGGCGGGCTGTTCACACCACTGTTGGGATTGTCTCACCAACACAGATTTGTAGTAACAGTATTTTTAAAGCCAAATCCGTGTCCCTGTACTCTTTTTTTGTGGTTGTTGGGTATCGTGTACCTTTCTTCCTTCCCCCAAGGTGATCAGATGGCTGACCCGTGTAGATCTGTCCCCCTGCCCTCCTTATCCGAATCATCCGAAATGATCCTACAGGGACCTCTCTTGTTCAGAGCCTCGCATCTCCCGTGAACTGTAATCTTCGTTAGTTTCAGCTCTCAGCACCTTGCCCGTCGTCCTCTGAATTATTTACAGCATGTTCTGTAAAATGTCTGAGGGAGTATTTACCATTCCCAGGTTTCTCTGCCTTCCTAACGACATGTCCTGAGACCACGTGGTCTGGTTTTGGCTTCTGTATCCCCGTGGTTAACATTACCATCAACCCAGTGTCCCAAATGAGCAGCACGAAAAGTGTTCCCAATTCTGTGCCTTCGTTCTGATACGCGCTCAGGTACAAAGTTCCTTTGACACGCACCCCAGCACCTCTCCCGGGTACTCCGTCTTCCATCGCCCCACATGCTTCTTCACTAGGCCCTTACCGTGTCATGGGAGTCGCGGCCTGGGGCAGCTGTGTGCTCCCTGTGTCCCCTGCCTCCAATCTGTCCCTCATCCTGCCTTTCCGGGGCCTGTAGCTCACTGTCACACTGTCGTGTAACTTTGCATGGCTTCCCATTGCCTCCCCAAGTGCGATCAAACTTCTTAGTGCAGGGAAAGCTAGTCTTCCATAGTCTGGCCTTAGTGACCTCCGAGCTTCGTTTGCCAACATGTCCCTTCCTGTTCTCTCTTATATTTTAGACATTGCAGCTAATGCCCCCCCCCCC